TTACTTAGATTTTCCCCCTCAAAATACTCCAGGCTTTTTTTTTTTTCATTTTCCCCTTAGCAGCCCTAGAATCAACTACTACTTCTCCAAGGAAACTTGGTTTCTTTCATTGGCAAATGATATTTAGAAATCTATATCTGGAGCTGGGGATATAGCTCAGTTGGTTGAGTGCTTGCCTCACAATGCAAAGGCCCTGGGTTCTATCCCCAGTACCACACACACACACAAAAAAAAAAAAAAAATAGAAAGAAAGAAAGAAAAGAAATCAACCTCTGGCTATGTGGCTGCTAGATGTGCTTATAAACATTATATTTAACCATAAAAGATGTTCTCCCTAAGATCTGAAACAAAGTCAGGACTTTGTTTGACACATGATTTCTATTCAATACTGTAGAGGAAGTTCTAATCAATACAATAAGGCAAAAGAAGATAAAATGCATCGAGATTAGAAATGAAATAAAAACTGTAATTATTTACAAATGATCTGATTATGTCTGTAGAGAATCATAAATGAACTTCAACAAAAGCTACTATAACCAAAAAGTGATTATTTTAAGTAAGCTCCATTTGAATTACTTATTTATAATTTGTACCAACTCTTCTTCAAGAAAAAAAACTTCCACTTCAAAAACAGTAATATTTAAATTCAACTTTTTAAAAGTTAACTCAGTGTTTTGCTGGTGTGGCGAGGGAGGGAGACAAATTTTAATTCATCTTTTTTTTTTAAGGACTTAAGACATATAATGTAGGAGTATACAATCTTTAACAATTCAAAAAAAAAAGGTCATTTCTTTAAAAAAAAATAAATAAAACTGACAGAGCCTTAGCCAGGCTAATGAAGAAAAAGAGAAAGAATCTCAAATTACTATAATTCATAATGAAAAAGGAAATGTCATCATGGACACCATTGAAATACAGATGATAATCAGAAACTACTTTGAAAATTTATACTCCAATAAAATAGAAAATTATGAAGACATCAACAAATTTTTGGAGACATATAACGTGTCAAAATTCAATCAGGAGGACATACAAAATTTAAACAGATCAATTTCAAGCAATGAAATTAAATATGCCATCAAAAGCCTACCAACAAAGAAAAGCTCAGGAATAGATGGATTCTCAACCTAGTTCTACAAGACCTTCAAAGAACTTACACCAATATTCCTCAAGTTATTCCAAAAAATAGAAAAGGAGGAAACTTTTACAATCTTTTTTTAATTCAAAATCCCAGTTCTCTTTACACATGCATATACCCCCACTTTTCTAAAATTAAAGAAGTGACCAAATAATAAATGAAAGCTTCCATTTGTACCATTTCATTACCCAATTTTAGGTAATGGTATGGCAACTCCTGGAATTTGGCAACATGTTGGTTGGCTTTGGCCCCTATTAAATCAGGACAAATCACTGGGGAAATTAAAAATAAATAAGAATAATGATGCCTCCATTAGATTAACACTCTTTGAAAAACTAATTAAACATATTTAATTCTTGAAAAAAGGCTTTTTCAAAGTTCAACAACAAAGACCATTCAAAATTGATTCTCTGCAAGTTTTGATACTATTTTTCATGAATAAAGAGCTCAATTATAACTTATTTATTTAATACTTCTATTTAAGAAGGACTGTGTCTTCTGGTTTTGTCAGAATGTTTTTGGGATGATTTTTAATGCAGTCTGGAGGTTGAACCCAGAGCTAACAAATTTGATATGAATTTTAAATAAATATTAAGAAATAACATAAAATGTTGAAGTCAGCAATAAAATTAGTAAACAGAAATATTACAATCATATTATAATTTATACTATAATAATTTATATTATGATGATGTAAGTAAGAGCCATTATTCCAAGATAAACACATCTTAGCTCTCAAAAGCAACTTTTACAAGCTTACAGAATACAAAGTCAACATAAAAAAAAATCAATTCTATTTTCTATATATTGGTAGCAAACAAAGTGAAATGAAATTTTAAAATTCTGCTTCCACCAGAAGACATTAAATACTTAAGAATACATATCTTACCAAAAATGTATAAAATCTAAGCATAAAATTATAAAATATTACTGAAAGAAATTAATGATCATGTAATAAATGGAGTGATACACTGGGTTCCTGGATCCAAAAATCACTGTTAAAATGACATTTCTTCCCAAAATGTGAAATTCAACACCATCTCACATAAAATCCTAGCAGATCAACAAACTGAACACTAAATTTAACTAGAAGTTAATTTAGAAATTTATCTAGACATATTCATAGTAGAAAATACACCACTAGAGAATCTTATAAAGCTTTTAAGGTACTGAAGTAATCTGCATCTTATGTGTTACTCTATACGATCAACTTGTCTATTTCCACAAAGGAAATGAGAAGCAAACCTAGGATTGGGACCAGCTCTTCTGACTTCAGTACTGTACTCTTTCAAATTATAGACCATCAATTATAATTAAGGTTAATTGACTTCCTTCTTTGCTCAGAGATTTAGTTTTCCCTTAAAGATACCAGGAACTGTAGGTTTCTTCACCTCTAGATTTGCTGTAATATTTCAAAAAATAGCCAGTAAATCATGTAATAATAGAGCTATGTAAAAAATAATAAATCTCTCAAAGCTTATTAATAAAAATTAGTAAACATACCTCTCATCTTGGAGATGAATTGACCACTTATAAATAAGTTATACATTTCAAAGATATAAGGGCCCCATCAAAATATTCAAATTTATAAATAATTTCATAATTTATAATGCCTCCCAAGCACTAAAGTTTTAAGTGAATTAATGAAATAGCTAATAGTGTTAGATTGGTTCCTTTAATTAAATATGAGAGTGATGGTATAATTTTGCAGTTCTAGAGTATTTGAGTAAACTTAAATTGCCTCATTGAACAAGCACATGAGTAAGCCTGTTAGAAGGTAACTAATCTGTTCATGGAAACTCTGCTCTTTTTGCGGTTGTGTTTTTTTGGGCAAGATACTTTAATTTTACTCAAATTAAATGTCATGTATCTTTAACAATTAAAACAATTTAATTTCTCTCTATATATCATCTAAACTTGTTTTGAAATCTTCTTTTCCCTGACCATCTTGTTGGCGCCTCTAATTCTATTTCCAAAGCCTGGTTATCCTAATCTTAATATCACTTTCACTCTGGGCATAGCCTATTCCAGTGGGGCACAGATAAGGCAAACCTTGCTTCTTGTCCTATCTGGTTCTCAAAGCATTCTCCAGTTGAGGCTAAATTGCATTTAACATGAAGAGCTGAACACTGATAAGGAAATCATTGCAGCATAATTTAGTGTCCTCAATAGGTTCACATTTTGTCCCTTCTTTAATTTAGCAATGCCACACTGGTGCTATAATCACTGTCTCTTAAAAAAAAAAATTGTTTTCTTTCTTTTTTTAATCAGTCCTCCTTGGACAGGGTATACTGCATGAATGATAATTTAGTTGTATCTTATAGTCATTTTGTGTGCCAAAGAAAACTTCTGACTATGTATTATTTCTGGGAGACACAGTAAGATCTTGATCTTTCCAGGTTCTTTTGTAGTGTGCTGATAAAAACAGTATATAGCTCATAGAAGTCTTCCTACATATGCATGTAACTCATAGGCTCATCATCAGTGATCTAAAGTAGACATAAATTATCCATATGAGAGTCATAAACATTTAGGACATTTAGGAATGGTGTGAAGGAACCAATATTTGACACAGTGCTTTATACATGACAAACTCAAAATACGTGAGTTTGGTTGAGTTGAAGTTTTGAGCAGAAGGAGTTTAACATGGTGCAATTATTTAAATTTATAGTTACAAAAAAACAGGTAGAAAAATCACCACACTCCCTCTTACCAACAACATGAATTCCAGATTTGAAATATTGTATTATTTCCTCATGGTTCATTTCTCATTCCATCTTTATTTCAGAGGTTAACAGAGAAGAATGCTCTGCATAAATCAAACCTACATAAATGTTGATTGGTAAATGTTTCAGAGGAAAATAAGGAAAACTGGAATGAACTGAAATGGGTAGATTGACTAACAAAATAGATAAAAATTCAACATAAATTAATGAATTACATAAAAATTTCATATAAAAATTTTATAAAAGCATTTAAAAACAAATATCAAAATCAATGTCTATAGAAACAGTTGATGAAGTAGTAAAAAATTAAAAAATAGAACAGATACAATGATTTTTCTATTCCTGAAATACAGTAAAAGTTGCAACATTAAAAAAAATGCAATAAGCAGATTACAATAATAATAAAGATACATAATTGTGGGCAATATAATTGTTTCAAACAATAAAAATAGTTCCAAATAAGACAATAATTATTATTTGTAAATTTTATTGGCGGGGAAGAGTACTTGGGGATTTAACCAGGGATGGTCAACTACTGAGCCACATCCCCAGCCCTTTTATTTTCATTTATTATTTTGAGACAGGTTCTAACTAAATTGTTTAGGGTCTTCCTAAGTTTCTGAGGCTGATCTTGAACTTGAGAACCTCCTATATCAGCCTCTGAAATTGCTGGGATTACAGGCATGCACCACCATGCTTGGCCTACTTTGTTAAACATTAAATATTATAACTATATTTCTTTTGAAGAAAATCTTTTCTTCAAAATGAATTGGAAGTATTTGCTTTAAAATTAAAAGTATGACAGTAAATTTTAAAGTTATAATTTGCCCTTCATTTTCTTACAGAAAAACATAACATTGGGTATGTTTTTTTCTTAGAGAAAAAAACTCACAAATTATTATAGGGTCAAAAAGAGAAAACTAACTTTTTGACAATGTTGAATAAAATTTTGAGAGACATTTGGGGAGTCCAAATTATAAATAAAACATACTAAGAAGTTCAATAATCACTTAAATGTTAGAGTAAAAGGGAAAATACCATTACATCATTGGATTTTATTTGCTTAAGTTTTTAATGCTATAAAATTCATTTTAGTAGTCAAAGTATAAATACACTATGCCAGGAAGATATCCTACCTTTTTATCATACACATCTTGCCAGTTTACTCCAGAAAAGAAGCTGTGTCTCATAATTTCTTTTGCATCATCTGGTCCTCCACCCAGGCTATAGAACAGAAATTTTAATTAAATGAATATAAAACATTTACATAAGCCAGTTGTATCAAAAATTTTTCGTGAAAATGCAATTTTTTTTGGTGATAAACAGTTCTTAGAATAAACAGCCATAAAATTAAAAAGCTTTCACTATAAGATCTAATTTTTCTAACATGCTATTAAAAACCAGCTTTAGAACATTATGGTAATCGAAAAGAGCAGAGGCTCTGGGGACCGACCTGAAAGAGGTAACCACTTCTGGGAGTTCTGTGATGTGCAGCAATGAAAAAATGCTGAACCTCGTTTTCCCACCTGTAAAGTGGGGATAAAAAACCTTCCTGGGGGTTTTTTATATTAGAAATAACATAGGTAGCACCTGGCACAATAAATCATCACTGTCAATTCTCTAACCAAGTTCCTTTTGAATGACTTAAGTAAAAATGTATCCTTGCTAATAAAAATTCTGAAATTATTAACTGGTTTGAAAATTATTGGTATAACAATGCTATAGACAGAAATTCATGGGCTATTTTCATTTCTCCAAGGAATTCCACAGAAACTTTATTATTAATCCACAAAATAACATTACAATGTAATCTGCTATGAAACTTGCAATATGAACTAAAAATTATAAAACATACCCCCTTTACTGAAGGCATTCTTATTTAAATAATATCTGATACAATATGAAATTCAGGTGTTTTTTGGCTTACTCAACATGAGTCACTAAGAAAAAAAGAGAAAAGTGAGAGAGGAAGGGAAAGGAGGGAGAAAATAAGACAGAACAGGTACTGGTAAATTTTAATCAAGTCTTTGGGGAAATTACACATTCAAAAATAAGTGTATTATAAACATGATCCAAAGGAAAAGAAGCACAAAATTTATAAAGAATAATAAAATACATAATGTTTCTATTGTAAATTAGTCCCAAGATTCTCATAAACTGGACATGGTGGTGTACACCAGTAATCCCAGCATCTTGGGAGGCTAAGGCAGGACAATCACTAGTTCAAAGCCAGTCTCAGCAACTTAGCAAGGCCCTAAGCAACTCAGTGCGATCCTGTCTCAAAATAAAAACAAAAACAAAAACAAAAAGGGCTGAGGATGTGGCTCAGTGGTTAAGTGTCCCTGTGTTCAATCTCTGGTATCCACTCCCACCAAAAAAAAAAAAAAAAAAAAAAGATTCTCATAAAATTTTTAAAAAAATTTTTGCTGAACTCCCAAACTCCAAAAGCCAACTATGGATGATTTTTGATTAGTGCTAATACAAATATTGGTTGATATTACTATTTATATGTTAAAGTCAAAGATGAAGGTGATACTACAAAGACATTGAACTTTAGTTGTCAAACTTTACTTGTCAGTTATATGAGCGACTTTTTGCTGAATTAATTGTTAATAGTTTTGAAACAGTAGAAAAATATTTATTTATATGCTCTCTGAAATGTAACATATACAGACACTACATGCTTTTAAATTTAATCTGCACTGTTAACATTTTTTCCATCATTTTTAAGGTCTAAATAATCAAAACAAATCAAATCCTGACTTAAAAGTATTGGCCAGTTTTGGTGGTATTAATATTCCCATCATGGCCAATTTTAAGCTACTGTAGTAGCAAATCATTATACATTATTTCCATATGTTACCTAACCTCAAAAACAAAGAAGAGTAAAATGTAACAAAATTATTAAGGGGTGATAATTTGAGTACTTATTACTTTTTGCTTTTGCTATTCTTGATTAAATTTTGCAAATTTATGTTAATTTTAAAGAATGGTTGCATTAAACATTCAGCTCACACAATTTCTGATAATTTTAACAATTGGTTCTTGTGAGCTGGTACTTAGCAATCCCACACATAACTATGTAGGAAAAAACCCAAACAGGTTATAGAAATCAAATAATAATATAAATCTAACAAATTCTGGTTATGAGGTATAAGATTCAGACAACTGAATCCTCTCTGACATACTATCAGAATAGAAAATAAAACAATTAGCTGATATCTGAGTATCTTTGGTGATAAGTTTCCATCAGCTGCACCTCCTACTCCCAGATCTATACAGGTATACTAATAAGTCATACCCCATCGACAGGACTTTAAGATTGGATCATCTCAGAATAATGATGTTCACATTATTATGAACCTTCAGCCTGGCCATTCTGTATTTAGTTAATGCTTAGCATTTTGGTTCCTGCCCTAATTCTATTTCATTCTACTTCAAGTTGTGTATGACAGTACCCTCCGGAGACATAAAGCTCCTTGGAAGGCAGAGAGCAGTACTGGATGATCCAAAGGCCTTCTAACTTTCTGGATAGGAAACCAGAAAAGCAGATACATGTTTCTGAAAGAACTGAGTGAATTACAGTAGTCTGCATGAAAAAAAAAAAAATCAGAATTCCATTGTATTCTTTTATATTGGTTGTAGCTTATTTACTTCTTTATAGTTTATAATACTGTTTGCATCAGAAGTGAACCTGAGATGGCAGATGAGATGGGAGTTGGACTGGAGAATCATAATAATTTTGTTAGGTTTTTAATCCAACTTCTGTAATTCATGTTCAGGTTAAAACCTCAGTTCTTCAGCAACAATTTGGCTTTGGACACAGCCAGCAGAGTTGTCAAATATATATAAATTATATATGGCCATGAATACTAAGGAAAGTTTAAGATTACAATCATAAGACTGTCATTTTAGAAGCTGAGATTCTTTAACATAAATTTCCTCAAAGTGTAAAACTGTAAAATGGCAATGTCAATTGCTTTCTGATACAAAATTTAACACTTCAAAATATGCTTTGATTTGAGTTATCTTATGCCCAAGTATACTGAACTCCAATATTAGAACGTTAAATCCTTAGGTCCTATGAATTCTTCATTATTAGGAACAAAGAATTCCTATTTTCTTAGTATAATGAATTCAACATGACATCATGCTTCTTCTATAAACTCTCCATAGGATGACAAAGGAAGACCAAAAGAATGATCCTAAGGTAATGGAAAATAAGAAACAAAAGCAAAATGATATTGATTTTTTGATTGAACTGATGGCAGGTTAGTAAAGAATACCAGAAAAAAAAAATCAGGCAGTATTTAAAGTAGCTAAATAGGAAAAATAAAGAGGTATGTTATGATAATATCTTTGAATATGTTTCCAAAGACTTTTCAGGGTTCTTTGTTGGCTTTTTCTTTTTTCTACTTGTAAAGTTTAGCATTTCCCAGGATTCTGTCCAGGTCCTCTCCACTATTTTCTTGCCTTCAGCTACTTCCTAGATGTCCATGGCTCTATAACCCATATACTCAGTTACTGTGTTTCTTTTAAGCTGTTTGTATTATTTTCAGTTCCTTGCTTGACATTTCCATCTATATTTTCTAAAAATAAAATACATATAAAACCCCCAGGCTTGGTGTACCCCAAATTAATACCAATATCCACCCCCAACAAACCTCTTCCTTTGCTTGGGCTCCCTGTCTGCTGGAACACACACACTCTAAACTAGTCACCCTAGCTAGAAACTACCAGGGCATCCCTGGGATCTACCCAATGTCTACCTCTTCACCATTTCAACTGCCCTTTTTTTTGGAAGGGGGTGTACTGGATATCAAATCCAGGGTTTCCAGCCTGCAGTTTCTATTAATCATCCACAAAACTCTTAGCACTACTTCAGAAAGGATTCCATCTTCTACCTAGACAATTTCAGAAGAATTCTTAGCTGCTCTACCTTCCGGTCCCTCACTTTTCTAATCCATCCATCCCAAAGCTGCCAAATCCAATTATGCTATCTCTTGCTTGAAATACCCTTATGGGTTCTCATTCCTTTCTGAAGATGAAATATTTTCATTCTTATAATCTTATAATCTCCCAATGTTACCCAAGTTCTTTACTCAAGTCACTGAACTTCTCAAATGCCATGTTCATTTGCAATTCTAGCTGAGTTACTTTATGTGTAAATTTCTCTGCTTCAATTCCTCTGCAAACTCCAATTCCTCCATAAGCCAGCACAAGTTCACTAATCCCTGAAACAGAGCTAACAATTACAAAAGCAATTTGTACATGGTTTGGCCTGAATAAATTTTATTATTATGTTTTGTGGCCCTTATCTTTCTACAGATTCCAGAGGAGAGACTCGTTTATCTTTTTCTCCTTTGTGTTTCCAATATTTTAATGCAATAGTAGAGGGCATTGAAGAAAATACCAGGTAATTAATAATATTATATCTTCTCTTGAGAACACTACCAACCTCTGGGTAGTGAAACTACATATTAGACCGCTAACACTCTAGAAATGTACCTCACATTTATTCAGCAGTTCTTAAGTACCTACTATATACTACTCATGGAGTAGGGGTGGGCTGACATAGTCAAATAAGTGAGATATAGACACAAAAACCACAAGTACAATTTTGTTCTAGCAGTCAATTATAGAAAGGGCAACAAGGGAAAGGGTGGCCAAAGAGCCTATAGGACTCAGAAAAGCAAAGGATAAATTGTTAGTTTTCTTAAGACCAAACCAAATATTATTTAGATTCCCAAACCAAAGATATAAAATGGGAGTCATAGCTCTGCTTAAAGATTACTTATTCATTATTTACTCATATTCTGCATGAATTTCCCATGAGACCCTGGGTAAATCACTTAACCCTCTCCTGTACCTTTGTTTTCTACTCAAATAGAAATGTGACTAGTATCTCCCTTAAGGGTACTATAAAAACAAGGTAAAGCAAAGATGTGAAAATACCCTGAAAAAGAAAACAAAATGACTATAAATACAAGTTACCTCAATTCTTAAGATCATCAAACAAAGCTTTTGAGTGATCCTCACAAAAGAAAACAACAACAACAAAAATGTTTGCTTATTTCTGCTTAAGTTAAAACCACATTCCTAGGCTGGGGTTGTGGCTCAGTGGTAGAGTGCTTGCCTAGGGTCATGTGTGAGGCATTGGGTTGGATCCTCAGCACCATATATAAAATAAATAAAATAAAGGTCCACTGACAACTAAAAAAAAAAAAAAAAAAAAAAAAAAAAACAAAACAACTCTCTCTCCTTATAAATTTAAAAGCTGAAGCATGTAATGGAAACTATTTCTAAAGTAGACAAAGCCCAAATCTTAGGATTCATTTATTTTTTCACTCATTAACCCAGTCTGACAATAAATATATGTTCACCATTGATCTTAAACAAAATGCTGGAACAAAATATTATGTGAGTTGTTTATGGATCAATTCAACAACATATGAAATCTATCCTTTAGATACTTAAGTTTAATAGACTTTCAGAGAGCTACTGATATGTATACATATATAAACACACATTTTAAGAGACATTAAACAATTAGTAGTCATTTCACAAGATTTATAAAATGCGTTAATAAACATATATATGTGAATAAGCAATATTGTGACCCATTGAGCAAAGCAGCACGTGCTATAGAACTCTTGATGTCATAGCTATAGCTACAAAAACAGAAATACAGTAAGTTTTTCTTTTTTTTTAAGTGTCATCAATCCTTTCACCCATACATGGAAAAAATATTTTGAAATAATAATAAGATATGTTTATGTAGGTTGGGGGTGGGAGGAAAGAATAAAAACAGGTCTCTCTTTTTTTTCCCTATAATGTAAATAATCAGAAATATAAAGGCCTGGAAGAAGAAAAGGGATCATCCTATTCCCACAAGATCAAGCAACAGGGAAATTAAAAGACTGTTCACTCATAAAATGGATAATGAAAATCTCAAAATCCATATTTGTGAAACCTGCATAAAATTCCAAGTCAGAAAAGAATTGATGAACATTTTTGAGTTTTCTATATTATGCAGTTAAAAATAAGTCAGTATCTCAGTGGGAAAATGTCTATAGCAAATACATTGCTTCTTGGAGTCAGTTTTATTTGAATTAATTTCCATATCATAATCTCTAACCATATTCATCAGTAACTCACAGAGCATTATTTGAGGCTTACCGTTTATTTGGATCCTTTATCAAGAGCCCTGAAAGCAATGATTTTGCATCTGAAGAGAGAGTTCGAGGAAACTTAATGTCTTCCATTAGTATTAGTTCAAAGAGTTTCTCATGATCCTGGTTGTAGAAAGGTAACCTCCCACACATCATTTCATACATGACAACCCCCAGGCCCCACCAATCTACTGCTCGGCCGTAGTCATTATCTTCTAATACCTAAAAGTGAAATCAGTGAAATTATTAATTACTACACATTAACTTTCAAAGCATTATTCATTAAAACATAAGAGTCTTACATAAAAATGCATTTCAACTTTCCAAGCCTAGGTATGTGTATCCTGAGTTCTTGACCTCAAAATGATGAAGCATAAATCAAAAGTATAAATTATACCAAGTATGTGAAATATTTCATATATATGTGTGTATATATATATATATATGTACATACACACACATATATATACACACACATACACATGCACACACATACATAAAATGGTCAGTATTTTAAAAAGGGGACAGGTCATAAAAAATATCAGTAAGTAAATATATTTTCAGGATCAAATGAAAATACAAGCTAGCATTTTTGCATATTTTCTTTTAGGTCTACTTAATTTTTCATTCTGAATTCACTAACATGGACTTTAACAACTTGAAGTTAGGCCATGCTGATTCTAGACAACAAAATGTTCCATTCTTGCTTTAAGAACTAAGTTAAAAAGAAAAAGAATTTAGTAATAGAAATCAAGCAGTGAAAATTAGGAGTAAACAAGCACAATATAACATGGGGAACACAGACCATGGCAACCATTAAAATAAATGTGAAAATTCTTGGGGTTCCCTCTGTGTCTCAGAAAATATTTAATTAATTAATTGAATGTAAAAGCAAAAATTATGAACTTAATACCTGGGTGGTATATATATCCTTATACTGGATTCCCAAAATGCATTAGATGTAAGAAATAATATGAAAATATCCCTTTGATTTTGTTAGAATGACCTATTCAAATCAGATACAAAAACCTATCATCTGCTTCAGGTAAAATTTGTTTTCACCTTTTTTATCAGATTTGCTTTTCATTCAACAGAATATTCCTCATCCATATACAACTTCCTATATTTTATTGTAAATAACTATATTTGAATAATCTTCAAGCTTATTTTAATTTGATCATCTCAAACTTTGGAAAAAACAGATTAAGAAAGCAACAGACATGAATTTCATTAATTAAAAAATACCACCTTAACAACTGATAAGAGAAAAAAAATATAAAAACAAAGTAGTACTTGTATTTCAAATTCTCTTGACTTGATTTAATACATTACAGAAAATGACTTACTTTTGTTTAAAATTTAGCAGTAATTTTATAGCACTGAGGATATTTTTGACAGTTATAGTCACTTATAAAAACTTGGAAGAGTACTTAAAGATGAAGGATAAAATTTTAAGAAAAAATTGTGTAAACATTTTTGGAATACCATGAAAAGATTTTAATTCATTGTTATCAATGTTGTTTCATGGCTTAGGAAGCCTAATTGGAATTGCTTTGTAAGTTTTAAACACAATCCCACTTTTTTTTTTTTTAAGAAATCTTTTGTAAATCACAAACTAAGGAAAATATTTTCTGAAAGAACAAATTATAGTTTTCATAATTAGTCAAAAAATATTTCTACTTGTTTAAAATGAGTAATTTGAGAACAAACTGAAAATAAGAAATAACCTAAGGAATTCTATTTATGTTCTTAAAGGAAAAGCTATATATATTACTTAAATATACCAGTGATTTTTTGATGATTCAAGGATCTATCTCATGGGCAACTAGTAGACTGTACTGTTTGTGGGCCTTTATCTAATTGATACAGGATTTTAAAATGAAAAAAAAAATCTAAGTAATCTTTAACTGCATTCCGACAACACCAACAAAATAGTGGCATACAAGAAAAGGAGCCAAATGTGGTTTTTAACCTCTTTTTTCATAAAACCATAAAAAGCATAAAAGCTGGATTAACTGCCTCCCGAACCCACATTTCACCAGCCGGGTTCTCATCCCCAGCTGGCAAAACTGGCAATCCTTTATTTTTGTTTAAATACCTGGTTTGCAGCCAGAAGGGAAAGTGAGTGCATAAAAAAAGAGGGTTTTTATTTTTGAAGAGAAATAAGCAACTGAAAATTTAAAACTGCATTGTAAAAATATCTGTTTGATAAAATCAATTTTATTCAGCTTTGTAAAATGAAAACCAATTCTCAAAAGTAGTGGTTTTACTTTTGAACTTTAACTGATGCTTTAACTGATATGCAGATATGATGCTGTAATTAGAACTGTTTGCCGTTATCACTTTGTACTGAACAATATTGATGTAATACATTGTCTTATTGACACACAAACTTTAAGCAATGCTGAGGAGAAAAAGCCCTGACAACGCAATCATCCACCTTTACTTGAAAAACTTTGCTATCAATTAAATAGAAGATTTTTGTTCAACTCCTATTGCCAAACAGCTAAGATAAACACAAGAAATGAGTGATTATAATATTCTGCATGTGAATATATAATATAAAACAAGTTTTCATCATTTATATTATATCTTTTTTCTCTCCTTCAATCTAAATGGTTAAAAACATAATATACTATAAAATACTCTGGAAACCTCAAAGTCAAATTAATTATTCTAAATTCAAATAGCCTCTTTTACATTATTTTTGGATGACTTTTTTTTCTCCCTTAACTCAAAACACTTCTCTTTCTAAAATTACAATAAAATTTGATTTCCTGTAAACATAGTTTATCATATAATTTGGAAATAGATACTGATCAAAACCTAGTTCTAGAGAAATAATCCAGTAAAAACTTGACTAATTAATCTAAAATATTTCTTTTTTCCATAAAATCAATATTACTGATGTGTGTGTGCGTGCGTGTGTGTGTGTGTGTGTGTGTGTGTGTGTTTGCTGGGGATGGAGCCTTGCATAGGGTAGGCAAGCACTCTTAACACTGAGTTACATCCCCAGCCCTTATTACTAACTTTTAAATGGAACTCAAAGTTTAAGTATGAATGTGGACATTTGATGTATCCTTCTATCCCTACTGTCCTTTGTAGTTAGATACAGCTCTACTTTATACCTACATTTAACACAAAGATAAGGGATGAAAATTTAAACATAAAAGTAAAAGGGTGATAAGAAGTCATTTCAAACCAAAATTCAAACAGAGCATACACTATAGGAAATAAGGCTTAGTTTTTATCTTTTTTTTTTTTTTTTCCCTAGCAGGAGCCAGAAACTCTTTACTTTTAGACATAATAAACCTAAAAATCAAACAGGTCACAAAAAGTATCAGTTAATCTTAGATATTCTGGTAATATTTGATGAGGACACTTCTATTTATAAAACAACCAGGTAAAGGGGAAAAATACTCCATGAGTAAGTTCTTGAATAATCAATAATTTCAAAGAAAGATTTTTAAATAACTACGTATTTTAAAATGAGAGCATCAATTAAAGTTCACAATGTAAATACTTATTTGGCTAACAGGCATTTTCAAAAAATATGCTCATTCTAATATTATTCTACCAATTATGATTTACTGGGAGTTGAAGGGATATTTCTTTCGATTACTTACCAAGCCACTCAATGCACCCAAGGCAAGCAATTATAAGGAGCCCATATATGCCCTGGAGTGGCTTACTGCTCTATCAATAATCCCAACAGAACAGATGGGGGAAAAAATTAAACATCTAAACAAACTGTCTGTACACCTATGTTGTGAAAGTAAACTGCGAACTTGGATGAACCAATTTACCACTAATTCAAAAAAACTCAGGTAGTTGATAGGTGTATGTCTTATATATAAACAGATCTATATACATTATCATTTATAAAAACCCTTTATATATTCTTACCGTCACAGGTATTTGCTAAAAAATAGTGACTAATAAACATATATCCATATACATTATCATTTTTGAAAACCTTTATATAGTCTTAACATCAGTATTTGCTAAAAACCATGACTAATTCAGATTTTAAAATTGATTGGAATTTCAAGGAAAGTATACATTTCAATTCATAAGAACAATGGATTCCATGGTTTATCCATCTTTTCTTCATAAACATACATTTAATAACTATCTCTTAAATGCTCTAATAATTCTTAAGAGACATCACCTGATGCCATTTGCTATGAATTAGAATGTTGTAAGTATTACAGCCAATTCCTAGCATGTGCACACAAATGCTTTAACATAGCACTTTCAAAAGCAAACTCAGAATAAAACAGTAAAAATCCCTGAATAAGAGAAAAGCTAAGTGGATACAATAATAGTGATTAAATCACAATAACATTTATCTTCACATAGAATTCTATACTTCCTTTTTATCCTGAGATAATAGACATTATGGGATTCCAAGAAACTGGGCTACTGTAACTCAAGTAGAAACATAATAAAATAATATAGGTCATTATTAATGTTCCCAGTTCACATTAGTTTTGTATATGTTCTCATGCTTCAGAGAATTTAAACTTTATGCTTTAACCAAATAATCTGTTAAAGCCAAAGATCATAAAACATTGTAAAGTGTATGTAAAAAAATTGCTGCAACAAGAAATGACCTCTAAATAAGTAACAACCACTATATATAAACACCAAGAGGCATTAATTGCACATTAGTTCATATTTAAACAATATTCAATTATAGGATGAAATGGGAAGACTTTGTTAATGTTACCTGGAAACAGTACAAAATAGCACCAAAGAAGAAAATTAAATATATTCAAATATTAAGCCGACACATATAACTGAGTTCTTAAATATGAATTCTAACTATAAAGCAAACAACTCTTATTTGAACTAATCGCTGTACTATTACAGAAAATCAAGTAAATTTAATTTTCTACTTAATATTGATTATAAGACCTTTTCAGAACTAATGGAAGAAGGTTTTCGAAAGTACTTTAGGAGGACCGATATTAAATAAATCATTAATAATTAAATAAAATGTAAGGTGTATTAGAAAAAGCTAGTAAAAACTCTTTTCACAAAAAGCATACAAATTCTAATGCTAATTTTAAAATCTGTAGGAATACAGATTGCCTAAGAACAATCAAAATGCAACTGCATATTACTACTTTTACCTGCAGATGAAACATGAAAATTATGATAACTTTAGCTTCATTCATTTCTGTAAAGATTTCCTAAAGATCTTACTGAAAGAGTCC